TACACATTTCTTTAGAAATGTGTCCGTGTAAACAATTTCTCCGTGTAAACATTTCGATCGTAGCGCCGCCACTGAAACGTCCTCGGACAAAAGATCAATCATAGAATATCGATAGAATTCTATCGCTTTCAAATAATTTTAATAAAAGACTCAAGAAGTTTAAAAATGTTAATGAATTCTTGTCGAGTTTGTTTAGTAAGTAAAGAAACGGATATGGTAAGTCTGTTTTCATTGTCAGGAACAGAAACCTACGCTTCTAAAATCAAGTTTTGTTCAGGTATCAGTGTAAGTTTTGAAATAAAAGAAAAATCAAAATCTGCTTAGAGTTCTGCATTGATACTATTACAGATTAACGAAAGTGATCAACTCCCTCAGAAAATATGTATTTTGTGTCTGCAAAAGGTGATAAAAGCTTGTGAAATTAAAGAACAATGTATCCAAACTAATATGATTCTTCGACAAAAACTTAAAAATTTGGATTCTAATCACATATCAGTAATGAATGAAACTGTCTACGAATCTGATTTACGTGAAACATTCTTACATGATAGTTTAAAAAGTGAACGAAAGAAAGTTGAAATTAAACATAAACCCAAAGATCTCAAAGATAAAACGGAGTTGTCTTCAAGAAGAAAACCAAAAGATCAAGATTATCAATGCTTCATTTGTAACCAAATCTTCATAAAAATACGTCTTAAGAATCAACACATCAGAGTGGATCATCCAGAGGAAATGATTTGCAAAGTTTGTAATACTAGAAAAACTTCGTCAATTTCAACTGAGAAATGTCTGAAAGATCATTCTCTTGGTTTTGATTATTTATGTCAAATCTGTGCTAAACCATTTCGTCACAAATATTATCTACTTAAACATCAAGCAACATTTCACTCCGAACCAACAAATGCTGATCTATTCGTTTGTGACCATTGTGGCCTAAGAACGAAATACAAAATGAATCTCTATCGACATGTGAAATCAGTTCATTTAAACTCTCATAAATTTCCATGTCCCTTTCATGATAAATGTCCAGAAACTGTGTACACAACAAAAGAAGGTCTAAACATTCACCTGTATCGAACACACGATGTACCAGCGCCTATAACATGCAATTCATGTCATCTCGGATTCACATTCGTTTCAGAACTGAAAATTCATCGAAAAATTTGTGGGGGTGTTACAAGAACACCTGGCAATGGAACTAAGAACAAAAATTTCAGGAAGTTTTGTGAAATTATTGATAATGGATTTCGTTGTAAAGTTTGTCAAAAAGTTTTTGCTATGAAACAAAATTGGTCATATCATTATTCTTCAACACATCGCGATAATAGGACTTGTAAGATTTGTAATAAAGAATTTACTAATTACACGAATTTTCATCGTCACGTCACTGTGCAACATAAGAAAATTAAAAAATTCCATTGCGATTATCCTGGGTGTGAGAAATCATTCGGTCAGAAGGGATCATTAATAAATCACAGAAACATTCATTCTGGTAATATAAATTTTACCAATTTAAATTCTGATTATAGCATCGATTTATCTTTCCTTTAATATCTACAGGCGAGAAACCTTTTTCATGTAATTTTTGCAGCTTCCGTTCTGGCGATAAATCAACTGTAATAAAACATAAGAAGAAAATGCATAGTCAAGAGCAAATAATTCAGCAACAACAGAAAGCAATCTAAGTCATTTTGTGATCTCTAAGTAGTTATGATCTTATTTTATCTATTAGATTTTAATATCTATTTAAAGTATTTATAACTTTTATAATAAATATATAAATAGATATTCTCATGATTAAAAAAAATCTTTGACAAAAAATATTTCCATGTTGGCAGTTGGAAGAAATATGATCTAGAAAAACCGTAACATTTCACAATCACTTAAGTAGCTATTGTACAGATAATCATAAGTTGAACCTCAAAATTTTAAGAGAAAGGACGGAATAAACACGTGCGACAATTTTCGGTTTATTTGCATAATTTGTTGTTTATCACTTTGTTTCTCGAATTTTCGTTTAATCCATAGATCTGAGATTCGTTTTCAATATACGATGTTTTCGTAAATCAAATGCAAATTTAAATTTACTTACGTTCAACCTTAATGTTATTCGAGAATCAAAATTTAATCGAATTTCGTCTTATACCGGGCCATATTTTTGATTTGCTTAGTGACGATCAAGTAATCTCAAGTTCAAGACAGACAGGCAGCTGCGAATGTGAGAGAAGACTGCATGCTGACACTGTGCGCGGCATGACGAAGCAATAGTGAGCGAAGGAAGAAAAGCTAACTCTATAAAGTCAAGTTTAATGCTATGAGAAAAAATAAAAGAAAGCAGAATTTTATACAATGTTTACTAACACACCGGAGACGTGACCTGGATTTTTGCTTTCATTATGGACCCGATGCTGTGAAAACCGAGAAAAAGCTGAATTTAAAAAATCAATTTGAAGATTATTTGAAATAACATTTGTGAAAAATGAAAATAGAATTTAAGTGTAAGATTTGTGTATGTCGAGAAACCATTCAGTAATCTCAAAATGATTTTTGCAGAAAATATGTCCATCACTCATCACAAGAAGTTAACGGTAAACAAAACAAAAATTCACTGAATAATCACGACTTTTACTTTTTCGATTGTCCATTTACTTATTTCTTTGGTTTTATTTCAAATTTTATGACAGATTTTTTTCTTTCAGTTTCGGAAGCTTTCAAGTGTCGACCATCTCATTTCAATTGCTTCTTTTATAGATCAATTGCTTTTCGAAATTGATTTTAATGGTCGTATTAAATTTTGTTCATTGATGTACTCACTGAATTGAGATCGACATGAAATTACTCATGAGATAGTTTTAATAACAGCACACCAAGCTTTTAATTGATCTTCAAAGGCGGAGTAGTTTTATTTCCATTCACTTAACGATATCTCATGGTGCGATTGACGTCACCAAAATAATGAAAACTTTCTTTTTCTCTTGAGCTTGAGTCTCAATCATCATGTCGCTATTTGGACCGTTAAAATGAAGACTCAGTGGAGTTTTTACATCTTCATGATATGATTCATTCGAGAGGAAAAGTGATTTTGTACCGCCCGCGTTTCAACTTCAAGAGACACCCTCATGATTTTACCGTTATGCTATGTGCTTTAAGCTACAAGCATAGAAAAACTTTTCTTTTAATTGATTAGAAAAAAACCTTCGAAAAACAATAAAAATACATAAATTTTAACTAATGAAAATATTCATTAAGCAATTGCAAGCTCGAATAACTTTCCAAGTGCTTTATAGGTGTTTGATGCGGTCAAAAAACTCTAATGCATAGCTTTTCACGATTGTTTATTTAATGAAAATTATTTTCAATGTCATATAATTTCGAAAGTGCTTAATTACTAAGTTATATTTTGCCTTTGTCATGATGCAATTTAAAACTGTGCGAAATTAAAATTCAAAAATGAATATAAAATCAAAGCATTTTAAAATTTATGATTCGAAGGAGAATCATAAAAGTTTTTAGTGACAGTAAACAAAACGATTGGCGGCGATCATTCAAGTTATTTAGGGTATACTACCATCATTAAAAATGAGCTTCCCAGCTTTCATTTTTCATTAGCATAATTCATCTTTAACGCTCTTATCGTTGAATCTTGAGCTTGCTGTTTGCAACAAGAAGAAGAAGGAAAGTAAGTTGAGTCTTCTCACGGGACTTTTATCTCTTCATCATCATTCAATAGTCTCAGAAGCAGAAACGAGCCCAAACAAGCAATTTTGCGCGCAAGCTTACCTTCTTATGCAAATGAGGTAATTGACAACTTACCGCGACAATGAAAATCACAGGCGATTGTGAATCATTTCTCCATATATACTTATTTTGAATTGGAGTCTTAAAAACATCAATTTTCAATTCTTCGAGTGAATCGAACGACCGCAAAAGGGAGTTACGGGAGTTGGTGATGTAAGAAGTAGATTCAAACGGTTTTCCATCAGGCCAAAACATTAACAACACCCTCGAATAAAAAAAAGAGTTGCGGATCGATTCCACTGCATCATGGTTTGATTCCTATATCCACATCATTAGCTAGAAATTACATCGAATCTACATGCTATGCTGTTCAACAAGAAAGTAATCAAGAACTAACGACTCACTACTTTGTATTAATATGGATAAGTATGACTAGAAAATGAAAACAAACGATTGATGACTTCAAATATGAAAGCAAATGCTTTACGGATATGTTGAGTAGATTTGTGAAGAGTCTAATGCTTACACTTATGGGAACAAACCATCATCGTAATGAATCCTAGTTTGCCACATGTTCATCATAACACTTTTCAATATTCGTTTTTTATTGGATATATGTTGAATTGCATTTAAATATTCGTTATTCTTTTAATTAAAAAGCTTTTTCCTTTCTTAATTGTTCTTCACCATAACTTCTTATCAAATTCAATTAAACATAAGCACCAATATATCGTGATTTATATGAGTGTGAAAGAATAAAACCAGAAGAAGAAATGGAACAATGACCCACTTTTGGTTTCTCTCTCTTAACTCGTTCGTGCTTGTTTGCCGATAACTTCGTGCTGCTGTCAATGCTTTGCATGTCTTCAAGAAGAAAAGAAAGAATGAAACAACAGCGAATTAAATTCGACAAAAAGTTCTTTCTTTTCTTATGTTGGAAATTCCTGTCGCGGTGTAAAATTATTTATGACTGTGATGATTTTACGATGAAGAAGAACTCGATGTAGCTTTTGAATAAAAACCACAAATATCTATGCTGGAAGTAAAATAACAAATGATTCAAAGACATTGAATATCAATTGTTTGCACGCCTGCGAAACTTAAATGAACAAAAGTAATTATTCTTGTCTATGTACCTATATATTTTATAAAATATAAGACTTTTAAAGCCCCAAATCATTCTAAACATCTTATTCAACTTTCTTTTCCTGCTTTGAAAGACAGAAAACTTTACTTATTGGTCTGGTTTTATTGAAAAAAGTTCTAAACGATTCAAATAGAATGTGAGTTGTATCGAAACATGTTTGCATTGTTTATGCAGCTGCGAACGTTTCTTTATTACAATGAAAGTTGCTAGATGACAGATTCAATAGCATTCAGAAAACTCATGAGTGAGATAAGCTTTTACTTAATTAATTATGCACTCAAGCTATGAAATATTCATAAATTATGAATAGTTAAAGAAAACAATGGTTAAATAAATTTCTGTTGCATATTTTACATACCTGTTGAAAAAATAATTATGTTTTCCCAAAACATATCAAAAAGCAATCAACATTTATCAGATTCTACTTAAACATCAAATATTCAAGTTCATTAGTGTGGTTTTCATTTTGCTTTGCATATTTCCACGCCCAATGTAAAAAGAGCGGAATCATCTTTCAATTTCTTTTAAAATTGATTGTGTCATGACATCAAACACAACATTTTGAATTGCTAAAAAGCTTTTTATAAAGTTTAAATCTTTAAGTGCTGTGGTATGAAAATCTACGCCTGTGATCATGTTAATGAAATAATCTTTAGATTAAAAGTAACAAGAAGATTTTGTGATCTCTGTTTGGGCGAGGCGAAAGGTTGTTCAGATATCCGTGTTCAAAGTAATTTATGTTTCATCTTCACTTTATTAAATAGAAAGAAAAAAATGCCAAAATTTGACCGAGAAATTTTTCAACAATTTCCTTTCGAATCAGCATGTTTCCATATCTTTCATGATTTTGATCGCCGCATTAACATCAACGCTTGACAACAAAATCATGTTTCACGTTTCAAATTGAGCTTCATTCTTTAAGTAGTTTCGTGTGAAAATTTTCACTATCATTAAAATGCTTCCTTTTTGTTGTTGATATTTTTGTTAATATGATTAAAAAATTTAATGAAGGTTAATGTCAGTGCTTGCAATTTAAGTGACTGAAAAAAGAAGAAAATGTCAAATAACTTAAACATCAAGACATTTCACCATTTACTTACTTGATTTGATACTTTTCCAGCAACATATTGCTACGATGTTTCATTTATTATGACTTATGAAAGAACATGAAAATGAACCCGAGCAAATAATTAGACCATGGCGAATATTTTATGAATTTCGTTTTTCCGAACTTGCTATGAAGAATGAAGTTAAAGCTGTGTAAAAGGAAAAACGTGAAGTATTGTACGCATTAATATCCGAGGTAAATCATTATTCGGGGTTCATTAAAACGCCCCTTAAAGTAATACAACACTGAAAATCATTTCACAATTGAGTACGAGCAAGAAAACATGATTTACAAATTCGCAATTAAATTGTGTGCGTTTAATATTTGTATATTGCATGCAAAGTGAATTGAGGTTTAAACAACAAACTAGCCAGAACAGGGTCGATTTATTTGGAAAGAAGTCTCAATTAGGTATGTAAAACTTTCTTAACATTCTGAAAAGTTTTCATCAAACGATCTTTATGATCAGAAATGGTTACTAATAATCTCATGATTGCTCTTCATTTCACAACATTTCCGCTCTCAATCTGCAGATTAATGAGTGATTTCCCACTCATAAGGTATGTTTAAACTACAACATTAATACTTTACGATGCCAACGCGCATAATTTATGTGTCGAGTAAGTTGGAAATGAAAAACGAGTAACAATGTCACCAGTCAAGAGTTCTCTTCTAGTCATTTTCTCTAATTTAATGTGTTGTTGCGCTTCTGAAAATTTCTCCCTTCAATTCAATTATTTTTTATTTTCTTGAGAACAGCATGCGCATGAAATTGAAGTTCATAATTCAGCAAGCACGCCAGACAGATAAATTATGTCTTCAATTTCTATTCGCTCGTTGAAGTCTTTTGATTTTATTTAGCTTAAAGCAAGTGATGACGTGATATAACTTTTCATCAAGTTTCAAAATTTATAATTGTGAATTTTCTAGAGATTCATTAAAAAGATAAGCACGACCGTTGAAATGGGTTATGATAGAGACAAAATATGACCACAGAACCCAACAACACTTCCTGAAAATCAACAAATCTGTAACAAAAAAAAATATTACGGAAATCTCAAGATCAATTAAAATTACAATTCGATTTTTTTTGATTATCTATTACAATTTTCTTTTATTTCATCATGAATTTTAATTTTCAATGATACAATTTTTATGTTTTCTTCTTTCGTATTTACAAATTTCTATATTTTTTATGCTTATTCATGGAATTAAAATTTGAGCTTCGGTAAATTAAGGTAAAACTCATTTAAAGATAAAACCGAAGCCTTCGTGATATTTGTGTTTACGATTTCTTCTTATTTTTTCACTCATATTCATGTTAATTGAATAAATTTCTCTTTTCCTTCTGTCAATTGAAGCTTTTTCAAGCTGCTTTTTTAATTATTTAAACTCCTACCTTAAAGGAAATAAAATTGAATTTTATTTTATTTAATTACTTTGCTCTTACATTGTCTTGAGATCTCTTGATGTAATTTTTCTTCTTTCTTTTATTCGTATGAATTTATTTGATTTCGAATAAAAAAAATAACCCACAAATTGTTTAATAATTTTATTTTAATCCGTTAAGCAAACGACATCATAAAGGTAAAAAAATGTTAATTAAATAAATAGCGTGATTTAAGGCTTATAAATTAAACTATTTCTCTATATAGGTATTAAATAAAATGTTTTAACTACTGAACTTAAATTATTAATTAACAAATCATTTGAAAAATCAAATTTACTGCTACATTGTTGCAACAACATACGTGCACAATATTTATATCCATTCAAGATAGACTTAATAATGTAAACACGTAAAATGCTCGATGAAGGGCAACAACTCAAATCTATTGCTACTATTATACATATTAGAATGATTACCACTTTTAAATTAGATTAAGATAGCGAGAGAACGATATCACAACATAATGTATGGAAATGTTAAAAGAAGTAAAAGTGGGAAAATTATCAGCTTTTTCTAAGCATAGAAATTATGTTATTAAGTGCATCAGATCGACGCTGTTGCAGTAAGAGAAGTAGAACATTACTAACAAGACAAGCAAAAAATAATGAAAAGAGTAGCAAATTAAAGAAATCGCTAGACGCGTGAGAATGTCTTTAGAATTATCGTTGAAAGCTTATATTAAAAACTAGAAGTAGATGCTTTGAAGCGCAGAACATGTTACATGTTTATTCATGAGTTCAAATAGATGTTATTTATATCTCTTAAGAGTAAAATAAATTTATCTAGTGAATCCTCATTCATAAGATGTCTTATTCAACGCTTCAGCTGTTAATACTTAGTAGCGATATTCTTAGCTAAAAATTAAAAGAATTAAATATTAAAATTGCACTCAACATAGGAAAAGAAACTAAATGATCGACTTCAGCCCTTTATTAAATTTTCTATTAGCAAGTGTAGCGTAAGATTGAAAGAAAAAAGCTGTAACGAATGAAAATCTTCAATTTGTTAACTTAAAAAATTACATTTCGAACTTTTATTTTCGTAAAAAAGTACACAAAGGTTGTAATACATAATACAAAGCTTAATAAACAGCGTGTACTTGGTAATTACATTTAAAAAAAAGTAAAAGCTTTTCGCTTCTATCAAAGAGCTTTTCAGTATTAATTTTCTTTCCATTAAACTATTAAAAATAAATTAATTAAAATTTAATTATCAAATAAAAATAGTTTCTCAAATATAATTCTTTTCATATTTATAAATCATTTCTCTTCATTATTATTGAATTTTGTGTGTAATTGTGTGAGGTACCTTTTTTCTTATAGCACGTGAATCGATTCAATTAAGATAACATTTATTTCATTTACAGCGGCTTTGTTATTGATTGCTTCATTCATTTTCCAAATTCAAAAGAGAAGAAAATGAAAAAGTAAAAATTATTAAAACAAAAATTTCTGAACTTTTTGACGGCAATTATGCACCAAACACGAAGCTTTAATTTTCATTTTGGCACTGACGCGCTTTCTTTTCGCCGAGAATGAAATATTTAATCACATTTTGGTTTTTTAGAGTAATGTTTCTGTTGTCCTTTTCAATTTAATTGATCAATCACGTCCAATTCGTTTGTGAATTTGTTGATGTTTTATCAGATGAGCTTTTTGGCGGAAAGCTTTCGCACAGATTTCACAACGGAAAGGCTTCTCACCTGTATGAGTTCGCAGATGGACTTTGATGTTGCTTTTATTTAAGAAGCCTCGATTGCAGATTGTACACCGATGCACCGGCTTTTCCTTCCCAAGTAACCCACTTAGATCGTTTGGTGATTGGAAACCGTGCGCTGATACTGACACGTTTGTCTGATTTTGTACTTGTTGCTGCATTTGTTGCTGGTGGCTATTACCACCATTCGATGACACACTTAAGTGAGACTGTGACTTCTTTGGATTGCGTGGACGTTTAAGTTTTGTAGACGAAGATGTCGATGATGTTGTCGTGTGCGGATAATTGCTCATGAGCTCGGGGCTACAAAGCCCATCATTCTTAAGCCCGTTAATAATTTGATAAGCTTGCACATTATTGTTGTTATTATTGTTATTATTATTATTATTAGCGTTGTTGTTGTTGTTATTTGACATAAATCGATTACCATTTAACATCACGTTGTCGGTTGTCGAACAAACCGATCCCGGCGGACTAGTTGACGTTGAGATAATTTCATTACAGTACGATGTTGATGTTGGAGCTTCGATTTTTATCGGTGGTCCATTTTGAAGTCGATTTTGTAAGAGTGGCATGTAGCCGTGTGTTAAAAGACTTTGCAGAGTAGAACCCGTTGATTGCATTGGCGAATGTGGCAGAATGAAGTCATTTAATGCATCGTTATGTGATACAATAAGTTTGCTATCTTGAGGCACAACTGTATCTTCAATCCATGCATCAAGATCCATCCACGAGTCTCTTGTGTCACCTCCATTTTCACCATTGTCACTACGGTTATTTGGTACTGTTGTATCGGCAATTGCTGATCCAATAATTGCAGCGATGTCTTCAATCGAACTCATATCATATTCAGCAAGTTCTTTAGCATCAACAAATATTCTTGCGCCATTTATGTTGTTATGTTGATTTCCATTGGAAACTGAATCTGGACCTGATGTGATGACACAACTGTCAGCAGATGTGATTGAGTAGATTTTACCATCGATTGAGTTATCAGAAAAAAGTTTCACATCAGATAGACATGAATCAGCACCATCGGGATTTAAAACGGAATCTGGCAGGCATGTTGACGATGAAACGATGTTGTGATCGGTAGTGTTATTATTTGTTCCACATTGATTTTGATACGAACTTTGTGTGTAATTATTGTTGTTCTCTTCGGGCATTCTCTGCGCAATTGCATGATAATGATGTCCAGAGATACCATTAATTGACAGATGACCCGTATAGCCGGTAAACGGTGGCAGTGGCTTTAATTCGGCTAAATTTGTGTTGCTACTTATGTTGTTTGAGTTTGATAATAAATTATCCAACATATCAAGAGAAGACTTTTGTGTTTCTGAATCACTTGGAAGGGATTCCAAATCATGATCAAGAAGGAGTTTGTGACCATCGAGAAGATAATCTTGTCCGTTTGTTCCAGAATTCCAACATGGACTCATAAGTAAACTCTCCACCTCCGATTCGTTTTGAGAGCTCATATTTGTTGAGCTGCAATAAACCATTTTCTCAAGTTCTAATTTGTGCTTTATTTCAGTTTTTTCTCGGTTCGATTGTTGAATTTTATATAATTTCTTAACGGCTTGAATGTGCAGCATTCGTAAAACTTCTTTTCTTCTAACTTCAATATGAAAAATCTCGTTGACTAATCGTAAGATTGACAGCAGTGGTTACCTCGGTAGAATTAACATTCGCAACATTTTTAAATCTGAAATGACATAAAAAAGAATACAATTATTAATCAATCAACTCGAGTGACTTCTAAGATGTTAGGAACATTGAGTTAAAAATTTGGACCAGAGAACTGTTTTTTAAATAACAAGCAGATCAACAACTTGTGTTAAGAAAATCGCGTCATCGCGTTAGAACAAGAAAATAACTTCAAAAGATGATTCAACGGAAATTAAGAATTGAAAGAACGTTTAATGACCTCCCCGTAGTCTTCCTTTTGATATAAACTATAATTTCCAGCCTATCTGACCTTACATTATTAGGTATTCAATCTCAAACGTCTTTCTGAGTAATAACATTTAAGTTCTCCATGATTCATTTCACATCATTCGTTAAGAACACTTCTTAATCCTTTTGTTATCAAAGAACAGATGGAAGAAATATTGGAAACGTTTAAAACCTCACATAAAGCAGAAAACTATTGGTTGAGAATGGAAGCTGAGAATATCGGTGCAATAAAGTAGTAAAAGCATAATTTGAAAGTATTAACTTTTTTTTAAAGAGATGTCTGTCATTTATTTAATACGGTGAGAAATGAAATCTCACTTTGATGCTTAAATAATTTAGCGAATGTCTTGAGAAATTCCTGTGTTCACATCTTAATAAAAATATCTATCGATTATTAACACTAGAAATCCTATCCGTCTTATTTATAACACCATAAATTATTAAAAATTCTTTATGTTCATGGCCTAGGTCACAATTCCATAAAACTAGTTTTCAACAACATAGATATTTTATGAATCGTTCAGATCAATGATTAACAGTTTCAACAAAAGCAAAGGAATAAATTTTTATGATTTTATGAAATTGAATGAACATATAAAAGCAGCAATGAAAAGGTTAGTAACCTGACAGACCATAGGTCAAGGTAGAAAGTTCAAAAATCTTTTAATTCCTTAGAAACTCCTTTTATTAACACAATCAATTGAGAAATTTTTCATTAACTCGTTGTATGGACGGATGATAAGTCTAAAGCAATCAACATTTCAAAGACAAATTGTCATTTAATGAGCGAGGAAAAGACTTGGCCTAAATATCTATTTTGATATCTCTATACGTTCAAAAACATTTTTCGCACAATACCGCATAATGTCATTAACTAAAAGTCAATAATTTCCGACCTCACACACTCTTCTGGCATTCACAGAGAATGATTCGCAATTGTGAATTAATTCGAATCAAATCGCGTTTTAGTGAGAGAAGAGAAATGTGCTTTCCATTATTCGCCACGCAGAATTATTCATTAAATGCTTTATTGTTCGGATGGAAGAATGCTTCGATGACTATGTGGAGTACAACCAACAATATGTAACGATCGCAATTGTCAAATAGTAAAGAGGAGAAAGATAGAAAGAAAAAAATGTTAATTACACGAATGTAATGTCGATTAAGAATGAAAAAAAATTGTAAATCCGAATAATCTACAAATCCAGAAAAAAAATGTTTGAAATGCTGAATAAATGAAACTGATTTTGGTTTGCGATTTGAGAATTTACAATGGGATCGTCCATGCGTTACGTCGTTTTTCACACAATTTCACTTTCTTCGGCGTTGATAGACATCAAAATGGAACACTTTTTTCCACAAAAAGCATCGTGAATAAAAAAAATTCAATGCGAACATAAACATAGACAATGAGACGTAACTGACATTCAAATCTAGTTTCCTATTTTCAAGTTGCTCGATTAAAATCACATTAAACTGATAACTCAATCGATCAAATCAAGGTACTAGGCTGTGAAGTGTATTGAAGCAGACGAGTGAAAGAACCGAAAAGAAGAAAGAAATTACAGAAAGAAGACAAACTTGAAATGGTTTTTTATTTAAATTCCAAATTAGCATTGTAACAAACCAAAGTGCTTTTGACCTAAAAAATTCTCCTTCTAAAGTTTTCATGTCAATGGAATGAAGTCATTTGTATCGATGGGGGAGAATGTCAAATACAAAAAAAGAGAAATAGATTTTGCGGTGCCTCTTCAATCTATTCTAACGGAATGTTTGCCGTGGTGAGAGCAAATTCAACAAATTTGCTAGGGAAGATTTGTATGTTAACACAATTCAATTTCCAAAGCTTCTAAAACATGTTAAGCTTAGTCAAATAAATTTAAAATTTAAATAAAATTGTAATATGTGATGTACGAACGGTTTCATTTCTCGATCATGCTTTAATAATACAAAAAAAATGCCAAATCCGATTTAAATCGTAAATGAATTCCACTCTTGAACTTGGTAACGTTTACATGTCTGTAGTCCAGATGCTTATGAAATAAAGTTCACGGTGAACATTTTAAAATGGATGAAGTCCACATTGACTTCCTTGATGTGCAAATTTTATATGCGAACTTTATAAAGTTTCTCAGATATTCGCGATAAAGAAATTTAGTGATTTTATCTTCAATTTTACTGTTTTGAGAAACATTACTACCTAATTGTGTTTAGTTTAACTCATTTTCAACTCAGAGACATAGAAACATTTTTCACAAAGGGTAATAATTCAATTCACATCAGCAATAACAAACCAAATGCGTCCAGACAGGAAGCGTCATTAAGCAGGAAAAAATTGACTTTCGTTCCATCATTTAACATCGTCAGTTCTGAGAACGCAAAACATCCAAGCAAAGCAACACATAATGTGTAATAATAATTTTAATGTGTGAAAATTTGTTTAAAAAAACAGTCCGACACGGAAGAATCAACTGAAGAAAGAAAAGAAGAATTTTCGCTTTCAATTTTCTTTTACGTTTTTCTCGCGACGCCCAACCAAAGCTTCAGGGGGGGCAATGAAGACAAACCGACATAAAAGCGAACACAGAAAATACGAAAAATAAAAGATTCCGCTATAATTTATGATTCGTATTTTTTTCAAAAAAGAAGACACAAGCAGGCAAAAAAAGAAGAAGAAATAAGTTCTTTCATTCCATCTCATCCGAATGGGTTGTAAAATATTGCTGTTGGTATAGGCCACAACAGCAACAAAAACAACAGCAAGTACAATAGCGGCTTTATAAGAGCGAATAAGCAAGCAAGAGACAGAGAGAGAGAGAGAGAGAGAGAGAAAAGAATGAAACAACATTGATGTCCCGTTATGCGAGACCTACTAACACGCTTCCTCCAATGTTTATATTTCATTCGATATGTGATTTTTTTTGCTTTTGGCTTTTTTTTTTTTGAAAATTCTCTCTTTAGCTTTAAGATTCTTTCTTCTTTTATGAGTGGTTTTGAGGCTTGGTGTGGCTTTGATTGTTAAGTGAGAATTTTTTTCTCTTCTTTAGTTAGATTGACGGTGAAGAAAGAATTAAAGTCTACATAACATCGGATTTTTGAAGGAAGTATCTTTATGACTTATTAGTATTCTACTTTCTTACTGCGCTTTGTTTTCTTTTGAAACCGAATACAATGTAAATTAATTACTCGAGCACCAATTTGGCTTCTTTTTTTTTGCATGTTCTGTTTGTTTCTTTTAATTGTTATATTTTGTATAACCACTAAATAAATAAAAAAATAAATTCGTGCAACATGATTTTATTATATTATTATTCATATACAGTAGGTATGGAAATAGAGCTTTCACATTTCAATAATAAAAATTAGCAGTTGACTTACGAGCGAACTTAATCTTGCTTTTCTATTTCGATTAATTTTTAGACTGAATGAATTCAGTTTGAACCCCGCACAAAAGAAACAAAAATCTCTACTTAACATGAATCCATTTCAAATCATTAATCATGAGCATTAATCTCATCAGCAATCAAACGATTTCAATGCGCGGCGGCAAACTTAATGAATAAAAACTCCCACGATAACTACGCCACGAGACATTAATTTTTTACTATCACCACACGTAGATAGTCAGTTTGCCATGTTAGTTTACGGCTTTCTTCTTTTGCTTCTTTTGATTCATTCTCTCACTTCAAGCTCAGACAAGGTATCGAAAAAGATTCTTCACGAATGATGATGACACCCCATGAAGTCAGAAATTACATGTTTCCTCGACATGATCAAACTTTAAATGAAAACTTCAAGAATTTAAAGATGTAAACGCATGACGGTGCGTAACTTAGATCGTGAGGTGTTGATAGGCAATAAAAAGAAAACTTATATCATATTTAATTTAAGATTTATTATGCTCTACTTATGTTCAGCAGCTCTCTTTAACTATGAATTAATAATTGTTTTTATAAAGTCTCAACTTAAAGTACTTACATATTGTAAATATTCAAAACTTTACAACAATATTTACTGTCCTTATCAGCAATAAATATCTCAATTATTTTCAATGACCGAAACTTGACCACCAGCAACGACTAATTGTCTTGCAAAGAGAATGAACTTAAAAATAAGACAATGCAATGGATAAATCATGTGGATATTTGATTGGAAGGTAGAGTCAAACGACGATAATCGACATCGTGATGGAAGAAAAATTATTAAACTTGATTCAATAACTCAATTCCATTATCAAGGGCAAATAGCTATTGGCTCGTGCTTTTTTATCTTCTTTTATCTCTTACAAAAGCCACTTCAAAACGTCTTTATAAAATTCATTTTAAGTAGATCACAGCTATTGTTTTCTGAAATTTGCGTTGGAGCTCCCACGTCAAGATCTCTACTTAATATTTATGCATACAATCACGATAAGAAGAAGATGAAAATTATGATTCTTTTTTAAGTTTGCTTACTTCGAGATCATGACCTCGACAGTGGGAGAAAGAATTGCGGGCTCTTCCACCGACAAACTCGACTAAGATTTTCAGCCTTAGGATCGCGAATGTTCCGCAAGAAATTTTAATGAAATGAACTTTTCTGTCTCGTTTTTTTTTAATTTTTCGGTTTAAGTCTGTTTATCAAACACATCACATCGCAGCACCAAGCAATTGAAAAGTTGTTGAATTACTTTTACGGCCCATTTTTATGATTTATGCTGAAAGGTTGAGCCGTTTATTGTTTGTTTGCTTATGCTTGTTTTAGGCCATAAAATATTTTACGGTGTTTTCAATTCAAGTTGAAGACCTTTTTAGGCTCATTGAAGTTAGAGCCAACATATGTACCTGAGTCGGATATTTGAGTTAAAAATTTGAATCATTTGGTAAATGAAAACTTAATTTGAGAAAATGCAATCAGAAAAGTTAATTACTCAATTAATTAATATTAATTGTATTTCAACAGACCCTTGGAAAGCAGTTAAGTCGATTAATGAAGGTTGAAGACTTGTTTGATGCTTTGCTAATGTGCATTCTTCAGCTACATGTCGATTGCTAAATTGTTGTAGACAAAAGTAATGAATTGCAAAGTATTTCCAAAAATTTATTGCAAAGAAATTTCATTGTCATGAGTCATTTGTTGGTTGCTTCAGTGATTTGTTTCTTGCCAATGTGTCTTTGAATATGTGAAAATATTTATCAACCGTTGATTGGCTTTACGACATTCTTAAAAAAGTTTTTTTATGACTCTCTCACGTGTGTTAAGTCTTAAAATAAATAAAAAATATGTCAGATGTTTCTAAAACATTTCTAAGCAAAGTAATAATCGTAAAAGGAAGTAATTTAAGGGATTTTGTCATTGAACTTGATGAGAGTTGACAATAAATTCTTAAGCTTCAAAGAAGACTTTAAGTGTCCTTTAAAATTAATTACGTAAGCTTATGACATTATGACTCAAAACAAAAGACATTAATAGCTCTTGGAATAAAAAACAAGAGAAAGATTTCAACACCACCACATGTTAGTCTCTTTTAACATATTTTTTCAACCAAATTGCCTCGTGTGGCAAATTAATTTATCTTAAGTGTTGAAACAACAGTAAGTTGTTAAACTCAATCGATCTAAATTTGTTTATTTGTTTAACGGATAGAACTTTCAACAAGCCATTTAGTAATCTCGCATTACATTTATGTTCATCTCATTTCTATGTTCGCTTTGTTTTATAAGAAATTTATATCATAATATGATATGGAGAAGAGAAGCCAAAATAATTCCGTTGTAACGAATCTTGAGAAACAACAGCAAGCAGGCCTCACTGTATCACATTTGCACTCATCATCTGACCGTTAAAGAAGCGGATTGTTCTTCAAACTTCATTAACAAGACCTACTCAAGTCATTCATAGGAATAGGATAAGAAGAAGGATTTAAATGAGATTTGGTTGCCGTTGGCCCAAAGATTATCGGGTGTTCCTTTCATGTATGTTTATTCATGTCGAAGATCAAATTTTGAGTCAAAAATGAGATGAGTTTGCAAATTGTGTAAATTACTTAATTAAACCTTAAAATTCTTCTTCTTCCGACTTCTATCAGAAACAAACTGGGTCAACGTATAATAAATAGCTGAGTGAAAATGGACATTTAGGAAATCTTTTTTTTTAAAACTTCTAAAGAAAACTACAAACAAACATGCTTATTTATGAGATCGTGATTGAGGTGATACAGATTTGTTGTTATTTCGGGAGAAAGTTTGTTGTGACTTCTAATTAGCGCATGTGGGCTGGGAAACGATTTCAATTTGTCAGAAGCTTAAAAGGGGTATAAATTATACAGCAGCGATGTACACATGAAGAGAGCTTACAAAGTTGTTTAAAAAGGAGTCAATGTCACTTCGTCTTTAAAGTGTAATGAAAACTTCAAGATTGGCTTAAAAGATTAAAGCTTCCAATAATTTTTCATATAAAAATTTCTGTGAATAATAATCAAAACAAATCACACCTGACCTGTAGTATTAATCGAGCGTATTGTTAATCCTCTGCCCAAAAACTCCATTTACATAATCGCTGACGATCCCAATATTTTTTTTTCTTTTGTGAAGCGTGTAACGATTGATTATGTTGTTTTTTCTCAGAAGATTTAGTTGTTTCGACACTTTTGATTTTTTTTTTGTTTGTCTTTAATTTTTTTTATGATTCAATCAAAACTCATAAAAGTCTCTCGCACTTTTACGAAATAGCGTCCAACATGAAATCAGCAGCAGGGTAAAGAAATATTCGTTAATTGTCTCTTGTTGTGTTGTCTAATGATTATTTCTTATGTCGTATATTTTTTTATTTGCATCGAGTCGCACAGCGAGACTTATTTTTATGTATGTCAAAATCACCAAGACAAAATCAACAGCAAAAATTATGATTTTTTATTCAGCTTCTATTGTTTTTTAAGGAAAAAAAGAGAGAAAAGAAGAAGAAAATATCACAAAAAATCACGGTTATGGTGGAATAGACAAATTGGTCTCGCGACTAAGATTTCAAGACAACAATTTGTTAATTTTTCTACAATTCATTTGTGATTAACGTTACAACAGAAATCAAAGCAAAGTCACCATAAACATCCATGTGAAAAAGTGAAGAAGATCTAATAGGAGTTTTGTGTAAAACGACACAATTTAAAAATAATAAAAGAAAGATTTAAATCAAACGATTTCCATGCAAAATGCGAAAAGTTTAAGCAGCTTTTTTCATGCACTTGATTATTTAGTTCCAGCGGATCTTGAGTCTTAGCTTCAAAGAAAATAAACCGAAAGATGTTAAAAAAGAAACACCAGATGGATAGGAGAAGAAATGTAGGTTAAATTATTCATTGAAACAAAAGAAGAAGTTTCAATGATTTTAATTGATTTTTAATCAAAAAAAGAAAGCATAAAATGTGTGCAATTTTTCCAAGGGTTAATTGAACTATTAGATATTATAAAAGGTAATTAATCGTGTTAATTTCTATAAACTACTTAAACGTTCGAAATTTTATACTTACAAAATAATTCGATTCTTTTGTTTCTTATGATATTAAAGAAAATAAAAACCCAGCGAAAGATTTTTACTGAATGATTGTCTGAAGAAAATTAAGGAAGAAATTAAGTAGAAAAGAGAAATAAATTGTTTATCCGAGTATTTTTCTTTTTTATGATTTCAAATAAAGATGATTATTTATGTATAAAAGGATAAATTATATACAAGTTAATGAGTTTTTGTTTTTTTTTTAATTCAGTATTATTGTACAACAGGTGGTTTTAATTCACTTTCTGCTGTTGAGACTTGATTTCTTTCCTTTTAATCACTTAATCTTTTATTTTGTTTATTTTTTGTTCTTTAATCACAAAAGGGATTTCCCAATGACGCAATGAAGGCTGTGTTGAGTTTTAATTAAATTGTTTCGCTTAATTATTTTCAGATATATTATCCGTCTTAATGATGTAATAAACTTTGGTGCTTTGATGATTCTTCACACTAATTAGTCCAATTCTAATTTTAAGAACATACAATGTGAAGACTTCCTAGTGGATCCTGTTTGAACAGATAATTTCGTTGCACCAATTTAAATTTCTTTTTTAATTGTTGTTTTTTTTTAATATCCGGGTTCGAATTAGTTGTAAACACACAAAGTGTTGACTCGCGCTGCACAATTTACACACATTAAATATGTGGGTCATTCACATTTCGTTTGCATTTCTTCGCTTCTAATTTCGATTAATTCGTTTTCCATAAATATTAATTTTTGAATCCACTTTTCTTTAATTCTTTAGTCATCAAACATTTAAATTTTAGCACAAAACAAAGCACTGAGTTGTAAAATATTATTCTGGCTTTGATCACTTTTTTTACAGTTCAGTGTCTCCGGTGGAGCAGAAACGGTTCAGCAATAAAATATGTTAATACCACTTTATTCCAGTTCACTTCTTTTCTTGTATTGTGCACGCTTTTTCAGAAGCTGCGAATTTATTTTCATGGTCATAATCCTTGTTGTCAAATTGTTGTAAATTGCTGTTTAATTAAATATTTAAGTCATTGAACAATGAATATTTTAGTTCTTGTTTCTAAACACTTCACAACAATTTTAAAACATTCCACTCCAAATATCCATTATTTAGATCCACGATCGGAATTCTCTTTTTTTTATTTAACGGTTAAAAGCTCTTTTTCCAAAATATCAAATTAGATAATATGTAGGTCAGTTCCAAATTTTGTTTTCTTACTGATCTTTTATCTTCCAGGAACAGTTTGATTTGTTAACAAATGAGGGTGTTTAAACTATTTTTTTATATCAACAACCCTTCTGAATGTCTTGTTATGTTCCCGATATTTTTTTCCCAACTGATCGTGCACTAGAAAAAAAAATTACTCAGCGCGTAAATGATCAGATACAACAGTATTCGACAACGGTAGAAATTCAACTAAAAGCGGTGCGATGTAAAAAGTTTTCCACTATTGCATTTGTAAACCAGCAACAAACAGACAAAAAAGCACCCGAGTGATCGAATGGAGAAGAACGAGACCAGCACGAAGAGAAATAGGGCTTTACGACTGACTATCCGTGTATGTATTTACACTAGATATTTTTCTTCTGCTTACCCGAAATCGATCTTGAGGAAAAGAGAAATTTACAAATTCTTTAAGTTATTGTCTTTGTGTTAGTTGAAGTCTTGAGAGAAATTTCTTTCTTCGGGCCCACGAGTGAGAGGGGATCGTTATCATTGGATGTAGGTATGCGTATTGAAAAATGGGCTTGAATTAGTATAAGAACTTTACACCTTAATATTGTTTTGTATCTTTTCTTATTGTAATAAAATTAGAGACATTTATGAAGATTATTTGTGATCTTCAAATCTTCATGTTTCTAAACTTAATAAACAGGAAAGTCAACAAATGTAAAAATTCTTTCAATAGTCATCGGAAAGCTCATCATAAAAGCTCACTAACATAATCGCAGTTGGAGAAAGGGGTCAATGAGAAAGAGAAGTAAAAAGCGACTCAACAGGTAAAAAATTTCATCGTGCTCACGTTTTCCATTCATCACACACTCGAGCATTCGACACGAGAAGTAAATAAAGCAAGCTAAGAAAGACATGCAATGAAATAACAGACGAGGAAGAAAGCACAAAAGAGAACAAGCGATGATTGTGTTGTGTGGACTTGTAGAGCTTGATTCATTCAAAGAAACAATTGAATGTCAATGGTAAGAGCAACAACAAATCCACGGGAATCGCGAAAACAGACAAGGAATTCTGTTGGTGTTTTACATTTCTCGCGCTCATACAATCGCGCTTGTCGTATTTATTAAATTTGTTCTACATTAAAGCACGCTAAGAGGGCTCGAGTTAGTTTGCTTTGCATATATGGAAGAAAATGGAGAGAAATAATAAGTTTTTTTGTTGTGCTCAAAAAAGTAAGCAATAAAGAATTATTAAATAAAAAGCATAACAGATTCATAATGATTTAATGATGCCAAAAAGAAATGAGCAGGGAAATGGTTATACGAGCAATTTCACACATGATTAATGACAAGACATGACTGCGCAAAGTTCTTTTTATGTATTTTTTTTTTTGTTTAAGACGAAGAAACCTTAGCATCTTGTGGAGATCGTTTAACGAATTTTCAATTGATAAGACTTTACATACATGAGAAATTGGACACCTAGAGTTCGCGAGAAGTGGCTGCGTGTTTGATGAAAGATTAAGTGTGGCGTGAAGTGTTCTTGAGAATAAGAATAAGTGTTACCTTTTGTCATATATTTGAACTATGAAAGTATTAAGAGAGTCCCATGGGATTGATGTATCTTAACATATTCTTCAGCCTCATTATTCAATTATTCCAAAACAAATGCATCTTTAAATGTTTTAAACTTGAAGTGCTAAAATATTCAAATAATCATTCATTCAAATTTAACAATATGACGAAATTTGAGGTATATAAGAAAAAAAATCAACAAAGAAATAAAATCATTTTGCAAGTAGTTTTATTGGGTTTCTTAAAATTTCAATATTTTTTCTTTCATTTGTTGTTGTTGCGCCGCATAATTACACCTTGCTCCATCATTAAAAAGTGTCGTAATGAGCTTCGAAAAATGAAAAAATGAATTTTCATGCTCTTTTAAACATTTTACCATGAAAACTCTGTTCATCGTGCGCGATTTCAAGATCCTGGTGATTGTGTAATACGAACTGACTCACATGTTGATCATAAGGTGGCAAGTGGATTCAAAACAAAATATCTGATGACTAATAATAATCATCACGAACGATCCGTGGTATTAAGTGAAATCATTACTGTTCGTGGTAGATTGTTGCACAAACAGTTCGTTTTAAATATGCAGAGACGTCGTTAAAATAAAAAATATTTTCAGATTACCAAAAATTTGTGAATTTGTCCATCTTTTGAGAGGAAAACAGTTAAATTGGCGTCATCATAAACCAAAACAGATATTAAACAACTATTAAATAGCGTGGGAATTTTAACTTAATATTCGAGAATCTTTCGAAGCAAATATGACAGAATTGAGGTCAATTTACAACTCATTTTGTATACAAAGGATGCTTCTAATATTTCTTAGTTATCAAAATAAAATATTCCTTTGAATAAACATAATTAACAACCACCTATAATCTTTAAAGGTTTCTTCGAAATCATCTCAACTCTTTTGCTTTCTTTGAAATATAAAAATTTATTGAGATCATGAACGACATAAATCATCATTCGCAAAAAAGGTTTTTAACAATTAACTTCTTTAACATAGCATATTGGAAAAAAGAAATTGAAATTTATTAAGTGGAATTAAGAACGATGACTTTTAGGGTTTTACTCATTCTTCTTAAGTTATGAAGGGAAATGATATCCACATCATAAAAAATGACATTCATTTCGAACCCCAAGTTCTTCTTACAATGATTTCCTTTCTTTTTGCAGCTCAATTTTTCATCGATGCGTTAAATGACTGTTATTAAGGTCCCCACAAATTGACGTACATCTGATCTTGAATACCAAATATTTATGCTCTGAAATGTGACCAGTGTGGTGAAGAAAAAAAAGCACACACAACGCGATGGAATGGAAAGAAACAATAAAGCGAACGCCAAAAAAACACACAAAAACTAACGGAACCAAACTTGAAAAGCGAACCAAAAGAAGGAAAATGAGAAATGAATCTGGACCTGGGCAATTTCTTCAGAAATGACCGGTTCACTGGGTTATCAATCTTTCTCGCGCGAATGAAAAATGAGAATTTTATTGCTGTCGTATTAAGATAAGAAATCGTGACGTTAAAAAGGCCGTTGATTGTATGAAACGTCAAATTGTACAATGTAAGAAAGGAACATGAAATGGTTGCATGGAGATATGTGCAATTAGGAGAAAATGAATTGCAATCGAAATTGCCAGTTGCAAAACGTAATGAATGGAACACATCTTTTTATGAAACAATTATCTGACATCTCTTTTTAAAAAATTCGCGACCAACTATGATAATTGAATACATCTTACATGATGTACACTACGTGAATCTCATAAACTTGAAAAGTTTATGACAAAATAAATTGAAGAAATTATATGCTTAAACTTTGATAGTAAGTTGCTTGTAAAGAAATAATTTAAGATTGTTTCCTCTTAAAATTAATAAATGATACAAGGAAATTCTTTGTTAAATATCAAATTAATGTAAGTACCTAAAATACTTTATTACACTCGAAACATTGTTAGTTTTGTTCTAATTATTTCCTATTCAATTTCAGATAATTCTCCTCGCTCTCCGCTCGAATCCTCTGATGACTTCAAGCAAAAACTAACCCAAGTGATCTAAGAACATTGAGATAGGTTTTTCTTTTTCATCAACCGAATTTCGTACAAATTCTGTTATTCATTGTGTCATTTCGTTGTCACTTTTTTTTCCAACATGAACAGTTTCCAAGGCGAAAAAAAATAAAATCAAGTCAAGATAAATGGCGCAAGACAAATTTAAATCGAAGCTCCGAAAAAACGCGCTGAGAAAATCGATTTTTATTTTGCGGAATCTTAAGCCATGACAAATCTGTTCTCTGTTGCTATGAAATTGAAGTATTCAAGCATTGATAATTTATTGATGCAATACTCGGCTTGCAGTTGCAAAATCTGTGTTGCTACCTGACTTTAAATCCAACTTTGTAATTCTTCCAAAATATTGATGTAAATCACCTGCTGTGGAGAGAATTTTTGTCTTTCTTTACATTATAATAGGAAATTTAAATGAGATGGAGACAAGTCGATCTTACATGAAACGAAAACGAAGTGCAATAAAGTTCTTTGTTGACCTATTTTACCTGAACACTTCTCAGCTTCTGTTAACTTAACAGTGTTAAGGTATTTCAGTTACTTACCCATAAAGTGATAAGATTGATTGTTTTATGGCAACCTGCCGAAATAAACAAACTGAAGAGAAAAAAAACTTGTCACGCAATTTTAGGTCGAAGATTCTTTCGAAAAAAAACCAGACTCAGTTCTGAGCAATTTAATTAAAATAAATTCCATGAAAATGAAGTCATTGCTGCCAGTCTAATGAACTCTCAAATAAAACTCACCGAGACCGTCAAAACTCTATGCGGAAAGCGAACAGGGAACGAAACAAAGCACCGATCAATCAAAAACGCAAACTTATTGACTCAAGCCAGGTCAGTGTTAAAAACAAAAAATTAAAGCAAAACAGTTTTGCGGTGCTAACGCAATGTTGCTCGCGCTTTGATGGCTTAATTATCCGCTTCGATGCGTATGCTCAGCTAGACACTTGGATGTTTCGGCTCTTAAAAGATGAAGCTGAATGAAATGGATTTTTAATCGTGTAATCATGCAAGATTTTGCGGTATCATGAAGGCATAAAAAAACAATCATTAAACCAACAAGTGTTACTCAAATACATCTTATTCGATTTAATGGCCAATGGTAGTCTTTATAATGTTTTTTCTTGCCTTGTGGATTTGTGGTTTGATTTTTGTCTTTAACAAGAGTAAAACATGACAACACTTCGAGCCAGGGTTGAATTGAAACCGAACTGCAACAAACGTGATGTTGAGTAAATCATTAAATTCTACAACTAACAAACGGCCCCGTTATGTACGAATGCTTGAATCTCCTTATAAATTACACTACAATTAACGGTCTAATTACTTTATATGATTATTTAATTATGAAAGAAGCCTAAAGCAACAGCAAGACTCATAAATAAACTGTGGATTAATAAAGAAAAAAAGATTACGTTAATTAATTAAAAGTTTTCGGTTAAAACACAAAAATAATTGTGAATGAAATTTTCATTTAATATTCAATAAGTTTTTGAAACATAATTTTTTAACATTTAACTTTTATGAGATTAATTATTAGCAATTTTAAAGTGTTTATAGATTGCAAAAAAGCTAAGATTTTGCTACTTAGTGTAAAATTTGCAGTTTTCTTTCGTTTTGTTTTGCGAAATAATGTCAAACAATGTCGTGTCCTAGCAGTTTGTTTTTTTCTTGAGACAACTTACACCAATCCCTTAACGCATGAACATGACTAATTTGCGTTGTGCAAATATAAATCTGTCATGCCTAAAAAATTCACCGAAAACTTTTTTTTGCAACAAAAATTGTAAGGTGCAATAAATTTTCATTCGTCCTATTTCATGTTCATTAAGATTTACGACATCGGGTTGGGTTTTTATTGAAATGTGTCTTCCTGAATGGCACCAATCTTTGGATGGTATCTTGGAAAATGAAAATGATGTCAAAACATTTAGATTTATATTTTTAAGAACTTCATTAACACCGATGTTTGTGTGATGCTTTCACGTGTGTCGTCGCGATAGATCAAATATGACTTTAGTGTTGTTCAAATATTTGATTTCTTGCTGTTTGAATGAGCTTTCAAAAAGTTTTCCTCAATTCATTTAAATGAAACTAGCAACGATAAGCCCAATCCAAAGTATTTACAAAGCTTCCTCAATAAATGTTTCTTTGAAAATGCAGAAACAACGAAAAGAAATTTAAAAACTTAAATGAAGCTGGAGCCAAAGAACTTGTTCGGCATTCAAATAAGACTTGACATAAATAACTTATCGCTTTTTATCATCTCACGTTTGCCGCAAAAAGCCGAAAGAAGTCACGAAAACGAACTGAGAGGAAACAAGTTGAAGGAAAAACTTCTGTTGAATTTCTGCAGCGATTCAGAAGTCTTAAGAGTTAATTTTAATTGAGACTCTTGCAAGTGTTTCAATGTTTCATGAAATTTAAGTAATTGTTCATCTGACATTTATGTTTTATGTTGATGCTACGCTTTCCAAATGAATGTGAGCATAATTTTTAAACAATTAAGAATTTTCACAATATTTTTGTGTCCGAAGAAATATTTAAACCTTAACAATAAAAAAGAAAGAAACATAAAACATGTTGGTTGACCTCAAAACGAAAACACTTCTCGACCCTTGTAAGCGATCGCATAGCTTCTTGTTAAGATTTTAACGTCAGCATCAGCATAACTTTTGTTACTTTTTTTCTCTTCAAGTATCACAATAACAAAACGATTCATTGTGGCTTATTTCAAGTTTGTCTTAGATTCGACGCTTAGATATTTACCAAAGTGCGTTCGTAGCACACCCAGACATCAGATCTCTATGCTTATTTCTTCTTAAACAAACACTTAGAATGCATATTTTCTGTCGACGTCAACATGACGCATTCTCTCAATCCAACGGGATATTAATCTAATTTCCATTCTTCTCATGTTTTGAGACTTATTGCTTCGCTTTTTATCGATTTCTCGTGTCAAAACGTTCTTGGAATTCGATAATATCTACAGAGTGGATGAAATTCTTAATTAGTCAATGCATCTGTTTAATCGCGTGGACGTAATGCGGCACACAGATAACAATTATTTTTTATGTAAGAATCGAGACGATGCATCCACGTTAATCATCATCATTTGTAACTCAACGAAGCCCAACTGAGCAATCATTAAAATGCCAAATTACTATCAAATAAACAGCAAAGATAGCAAACGCTTCTTGAACATGCGTATGATGTCCGAATCAATTAAACAATTGTTTCATGTTTTTCATTGAAATTCATCACATCGAATTAAATGAATTCAAGATAACTGTTATTGTTGCAACAAAGAGGCAGCACCTGCTTTACTTCTTACTGAATCCAAAAAAAGACGCATCGTTATAGCCCTTTGAAGCCATAAAAATTGCATAAATTCCATTTGAATGTACTCACATCTTTCATTCATTTCATTTCCTTCTTTCCTTCTCTGTTTCTCGATTTATTCAATGGACACGCATCTGAGAAAAACAAAAATTTAACAACAAAATGTTAAGATTACAGATGCAGCGGGATCTGTATAAGCTTACAAACAAAATAACTCGTTTAAAAGTGGAGTCAAATAAAATAAAAACAGACAGGTCATCATGCAGCGAAATCTACAAGAAAACGTTTTGTTTTTCCAATATCTGATAACTTATGAATCAGTCGTGTTTTCGTCACGAAATAAATTAATTCAAGTGTTACAATTCGTAGTCATCAAAATCCCCCTCGAGACTAATGAGAAAAAAAAGTTTAATTCCTATTAAAATAGATATCAATGAATGATTCAAAAAAATATTTTATACTTTCATGTTTCTGTTTATTTGACACGAAATTTTAAACTTATGCTTCAACTTTCGCAAAAATAATTTTTATAGCCACGATTGGTCATAAAGTTAAATGAAAAGATTTTTAACACAGCAATTTTTAGCACATTAAAACTTTAATTCGTTTCCTTTTTCATGCCTTAAGAAAAGCTCCAAGTAACAAATATGATGTCGAGTTAAACATTAAATTCTTTTGTAGGTCATGTTGCCTGTAAGGGTTACATTTGATTTATGATCTACATACAAACTACTTTCAAAAGAAACCAAAAAACAAAAGAGTATCATTCCGTAACCCTTTTCTTTCTGGTCAGAACAAAACCGCATATAAGCATTATGATAATTCGGGACTATAAACATAAATTGTTTTTCGGGAGAAAAAATAACTTCAACATCATGTAGTCAGCAATGCCAACATAACGGTGAATATCCTTTAACATGTTCATCTTAATGTTTGTTGATCTTGCAGCATGTTTGGATATTTGTACTTTAATTTTGTAATTTCAGTTCATTTTATGCTCTTCTTTCTTCTTTCGATTTATTTGATTAATGTTGAAACACTTTAAGCTTTTCCTTGCTTCATGCCAAACTTTCCGATCAGACATCATTAATAACCGAAAAACGACAATCATGGTGGCACGATATGGACGAGAGAAAAGTTTCACCAGTGAACGAGACGAGTCGTGAATACATTGATTCAGATCCGGTTTTTGTTTACATTTTGTTTGACCTACTTCCGGTGCCAGTTTTGATACCAGCAATGAAAATGAAGAATCATTGGCGATTTATCGATTATTAGCCACAACAATGTTTACGAGATTTTTTCCTCAATTGATCAAGTTTTTATCGTCGAAATATTTTTTTATCTCAATCGTTGTAAATGACAGCGGTGGAGCATGCAAAGTGGGTACAAAGAAAGAAATGATTAGAAAGTTGTTTATGGTGTTTTGATGCGGATCATGACTGCATGAAAAAAAATATAATTCAGAGATCCGTTGTGGAAGCTCAAGTTCTTTGCCAAAAAATAAACTGTGAAGTCTTCTTGGAATATCTTGATTTGATTGGCAAACGAAGAAAGTGAAAATATTATTTTCAAGAAGATATAAACGATTCCGAAGTCACGGCGTAATTTATTAGAAAAGTTTTGTTTTCCATTTCACTTCAACTCGTTTTTTTTGACACCGTTAGCGGATCTAGTTTGGTCACTAAACAACCATTCCAAGACATTTTTGCAAAGAAGTGTGGAATTTATTGTTGCAATCTGAGGAAACATCCGTTAAATAAACGTTTTGGAATGGCAATTGCCATTAAACTTCGTCAGAAGCACATCATCATTCAACGATGAAAAAGAATGTCGTGTGCATCATGCATCATCGAATATCTCATTCTCATTTTCATTATGATCGAATAATTTAAATCGAATAAGAGAAAGAAAATTTCTTTTATTCGATTTCAAAGGCGGACGGTGGCAAGCAAACTGCTGCAACTTTCACCAACAAGGTCATTGCTTAAGTAGTTTTTATTTTCATTATCATGAATTCAGATTGTTGTTGCTATTTGCTTTTGCTACTTGTTCGTTTGCTTTTAACACTTTATGATTTTTTTAACGGTGAGCTGGACACAGCATTTGTTGACCTAAATCTTGCAATTGTTTCAATTGCAGATATCTCTTTTTTGTTACGTTTAATTGTAAAGTTTTAGGCTGAATTTTGGTCTAGTTTTAAAATTATTTTAAATCTAGGTCGATTCTTAACTTCCGGATTCTCATTTAATTAAACTTTGAATGATTAATGGCTTTGTCTTTTTTTTTCTAGTAAGTAGATAATTACTTCATGCTTGGATTAAATAAATATTTTGCAATGACTAAGTAAGAACAAAATCCTTCAGTGTCAAGGATGTTTCAATGATGTGTCACATATGTTGGCGTCACGATGGAAGAATATTGAACAATTCAAACTTATGCAAAAACTTTGTTAATCTGTTTCTTGTTTCCGTTTGTCCTTGAACTCACTGCAGTTTATTTTTGGGTATTAATTGAAAATGAATAATTATTTTATTTACGCTTCGTTATTGTAGATGGTTACAACATGTTACGTTGTTTCATTAAAAAATGAAGAGTTTAAAGTGTGATGGTTAATGTGTTTTATTTCCAGCATAAAATTTATGTTGTTTTTGCATGAACAAATTAATTTTAGTGAAGAAAAGATTTATCTTTACCTGGAATTCCTTGGAATTAAATTTTTATTAATGATTGCTATGTCAGATTTAAATGTCTTTCTTGGTAAAAATTCTTATGTATCTTTAAAAAAAGTTTTCATGTTCACATAAACTTCACCATTTTGTGTTGATTGCAATTTTATTTCTATACATTTTTTTCAAATTCTTTTGTGGGTTAAAACGAACATTCACACTTTCGTTATGATGGGAAATAAAAATTTAAGGTCAAACACTTTAACTTAAGATCAAAGAGCGTTGAAACAAACGTTTTGTTGCAAATTGCCTCGAAGAAAGTTGTCCAAAAACATTCCATTTTCTTAAACATGTTTTTCTTATTCTTCAAGCGTAAAATTTCGCTTATAATGACAATTTTCCTTTATTATAAAAATAACAAGATTGTTTCCAAAAAAACTACAGCAGCTCGCAGATTTTTTCCCTCTAAAGCAAATTATGAGTGAAAGTTTTCTCGGCTTTGTTATTTATCGCTTCCATAATTCCACGGCTCTTTTCTCTCGTCGCGCTCAGCAACATTGTGCTAGATATTTTCATTTTCAAAAAAGAAATGTGGTTCAACATTGAATACTTGATTGTGCGGATTGTTCTAGAAAATATGTGTAAAGTGTGGGTAATTCATGTTATTCGTTCATAATTAGCTTTGAAACAAACAACCATGCATAAGCGTCATCATTATGATTAGTTTTTGAAGCTCACGATTTGAAGAGTTTCTGGGTTAATAAAAACGAAAACTTTTTCTCCGTGAATTGTTTTTAATTAGCGAAGATTTAATTGTAAGTCAAACACTTGAAGCGACCATAAAACACTTCACATCCGTCTTAAAGAAATTCTTTTCTATTCGCAATCACAACAAGATCCGGCTATGAAAGTCTTTTTCTTTCTTTCTCTCTTGTTTTGTTGGTTCACGTTTGTGCAAGCACAGAAAGTGGAACGGAGATTCCTTCATGTATCCAAGATGTATTCTCGAGAAGAGATTTAATTAACATTAAAACGAAAATGACTCAACATACAGCCGCATCAACAGCCAGACACGATTACTTGGATTCACGAAAGAATTATTAAGGCTGGGAATTATTTTCTTCTTCTCTCGTTTCCATTTCTTTTGACCTCAATATTCTCTTACGGGCTTCGTATTCATCTTAAGATACATTTGGTTGATTCATCGAATTGAATTCTGTAGTTATTCTTGTTTTTTTCGTTTTCATTTATTTGAACGACAGAAGAAAGCAAACAAGCAAGTTCCAGAAACATAAGAAGAACTGCAAAGTTTCTGCTTGGATTTAAAATTCTTACATTTTACATTGTATGAAAATATCTAACAGCTTGACACATTTTCATATTTCCTTCATGTAAATTTATTAGCTTGTGATCAAAGTTACTTTGTATCTTTCGATAAGAGGGAGAAAACATGCGCGGCATTTATGATCAACAGTGTTCTTCTTAAACCTCTTCATGAAGATTTTTTTTCTTCTTTCAATTTCATTTGTCGGAAGACGAGAAGTTAAAAGTCAAGAAAACGAAGAAATGTTAAGTTGGTCACGGATAAAAAATCGCAAGTAACCTACTTTGAGTAAATTAACTTTGATTTTTAGTCGAAATAGAAAGAGAAATTAAGTAGGGCTTAGCTGTGAAGAAAGCATTTCGTTTTAGATCGAGGGGCGATACAAAGAGTGGGGAGGAGAAGAAAATGTTAAAGCTTAATAAAAGAAGAATGAAGTTTGTTTGTATAAAAACGAAAACTTTTTCGATGATCTACATTTTTATAAATCACTTTTATTGTCATATCATTAAGAAAAGATTTTTGTACATTACATGTTGAAAATGAAACTTAAAAAGAATAATTTTCTATAAAAATTAGGGAAATAGATATTTCTTTAAGAAAATATTAAACAATGAATTTAACATCAATAAAAGCTCTGCATAAAAAAATATTTAAATATTAGATTGTATCTTAGGAAATGCATAACAAGCAATTGGAATCAAGCAAGAATGATCCAATTTTGTACAACAGAAAGCAAGGAATCAAGATAAACATCATTAAATAATGTCACTGGAAGATGTGTTAATTTCTTTAAAGCACTTTAAATGTTTCTTAATAGTCTAAAGCTTAATTATTGAAGGTTGTAAAGTTTAAAATCCAAATGCAAGGATTTGTTCAACATCTGCATAAGCACGTCATGACATACATTACTACTTAACCCTTCAGCATTCATACAAGAAAAAAGAAGAAGATATTTCGATGAATATTCGAGTTGTTGATGTTAAGCTTTCATGAATAATATCGTCGAACTTCATCGCTAATTTTTTCAATCGTATCTTCCGTAACTGAGATAAATTGTTTGGCTTGACGACTGAAATAATAAATGTCACCGGTGTAAATATCGAACCATAATGCGTGAATATGAAGGTCATGTTGCTCGAGTCGTTTCTTTAAGAAGCCGTAAGATGCGACATTTTGAAGCTGTTGAAGTGTATTGATTTGAGATAATTTATCTTCGAGTGCAAATTTATTGTCAGAATCGATGTAAGCGATGAATTTTCTTTGGGGTGTTTCGGCAGTAAATGTTAGTGGCAAATTAAGTCCTACATTATTCATCAATTGAAATAAATAAGAAAGATTTAAATATTCTTTGTTATTCTTACCATTTTCTTTCAGATAAAGGAACTTTTGTAAACTTGTCGATGCATGAGTGCAAAGCCATGATTTTAATGGTGATATGATTCGATTATCTCGTGATGAAAGTTCGGGATCTTGTAATTGACGTAGTAAATTCATAGCCTTGCAATCACTATGTCCACAAACAATGATATGTCGGATGTCATTTACCACACAACCCAATTCTAGACCCGCCGGTTCACATGAGAAATATTCGTCTTGAAAAAATTGGCTATGAGGAACAAGATTTCCAGCATTTCTTATCACAAACATGTCACCAACATGAGTATCACTGAAAATGACTATAAATTATCACAATAACTTCATATTATAAATAAAAACATACGTGAATCTCGTTGGGATCATTCGAGAGTCCATGCATGTGAAGAAAACTGCTTTCGGCTCAGGATTGTCTCTGACTTTTTGAAACTCTTTGACCATTTCAACTCTTGTAGTGTTACGATATCTCATAATACCTCGTAAAATTCTATCCATCTTTATCGTTTATGTTGAGGTTCTGTAAGATATTCAACGAAATAAATTCTTCAAATCATTTTCTGCGTCAATTCAAAATATCTATCAGTACTTCAAAAGAAAAATCAAAACATTCCATTTTAATCAATATTTCATTTATCACATGTCTACTCTCAATATTAACAATTCATAATACAATGACATCACATATTTATCAATAATACTTATTTGTGAATAATTTTTCTACAAAATGTTTTGACAAGTTAATTTTCGTTGACGTCATGAAAGATTTACCTTGAACTCGAATGCAATTGAAAGTCAACTTATTTAGAAGTAATAAATTATCACAGAACAGGTTTAAAGCACTTTAGTTTTCATTATTTCTAACTTTAATTATTCGCGAACCTGTTGTTTGACAATAAAAACATTCAACACTTGAACCTCGATTGAACGGAGAATGTGGACTTTGAATTTCAACGTTGCGTTGCGTATGTTGAGATAAAAATTCAAATATTTGATTTTACTTTTTATAGCTATTTATAAATTTCAATTCGTCTTCACATTTTATTATCGGTTTTCAATATAACGTCATTTTTCATTTAACAAAAACAAAAGTTGGCTAAAAACATTAATAATCGCCATGAGTGAGTTACAAAAAGCTCGCATAATTAGCTTCGTTAAGCTTTAACGTCAATCTTTTGAATATGAAGAAGCAAAACGACCTTTACTAATGATATCAGTTGTAATTATTTACGGACTGATAAGAAGAGATCGAATTGTTTAGTGGATTTTCCAGTTCTTCAAAATATTTTCGAGCATTCCTTATGTTGACGAGCGTCGCTTCTGAAGGCATTTGTGGATCGCTTGACTGAATGACCATAATGTATGTATTACTAGTAAATGTATCGATAAAAGCAGCAAATTGACTGTTCCTAACTTCCATAGACTGAAATTTCGCACCTAATTTTGCACATGAAAGTTTGAATTGTTTGATTATGTTGGAAACTTTTTCAAATCGATGTGAATCCGAATGGTGCTTCAGTTGACAATGTGAAATGACAAGAAAAGTTGCTCTTTCAAAAAGTAAGACTTCATCAGCATCAAGGATATTTGCAAATTGATGAAGTGAATTCTCTAATGCTTTGACGTTCGGGATGAGCTGGTAAACAATGGAACTCCACGCTCGATATAGCGTCTCATCCCAAATTGATGTTCGGAAGGCAGTGCATTCAAGTGGAAGCGAAAGTTTCTTCAAATCCTCTTGTCTTGTTCGGAAAATTGATTCACGTTGATCCTCTGGGAGTAAATCCATTTTGTGGATGAGACAAAAAATTTTGGCTTCCGGAGAAAAGTTGAGAATCGCTTCCAGACATGATTGATAATAATGCATATCTTTGTCAAATTCTCGTGACTCCACATCAAATACATAAATGAGAACCTCAACATTTCTGAAGATATTTTCTTTTTGAGATTGGAAGTATTGATCCATGTACGATTCTTGACCACCACAATCCCAGAGATTGAGGACAAGATTACCAAGGAAACGAACGTGTGAATGCTCGACATCTAAAAGGTGATTGAACAGAGGTCATTGAACTATTTCTGGACTATACCATTTTAATAGAGATTAAATTATCTTACCTATTGTTGCACCTAATCGTCTTGTGTCTCTGGCAATGTAATTAGCAAATATTATAGATCTCATACTTGTCTTTCCAGATCCTGATTTGCCCATTAGTAAAACCTATAATAAATATTAGGCATTGTTTTCATGAATGTAAGATTCGTCATAAAACCAAAACAAAGCAAAAATTTCACTCAAGGCCATTAAAAAACATTCTTTTACTTTACCTTCTTCTTCATGATTCTAATTAATATTTATTCTCGTGGATCTTTTAATTATAAGATAAAATCTGAGCTTAATCTTGCAGTAAAAATTGATTTGATAATTTTTGAACAAAAAAACTTTTGTGGCTGCTTGAAAGATAAGAAATTTAAGTTTTGTCACAATATTTTAAGAGGACGTCATTTATGGGATTTTTTTTGAACAGTCAGTTCGTATTAAAAGTGACTTCTCATCAAAACATTCTTATTTCTATTAAAACCGTTTTATATGAATAGCTTGAAGTTTTTAATAAATTAAAAGATAAATATCAGTCGAAAGTCAATGTTTTAGTTAGTTTTCATTAAATCTTTAATTAAAAGTTCTTCATCAATTTCATACGTAAGCTACTATGGAACGTCCATTCGACACAATTTATTTTTGACATTGTTGACAGGGAAGTTTTCGCTCGTATTCTTAAACTTTAATATAAATTAAATGCATCATAACCAGATCAAAAGAGCATTGTAATTGTGTAAAAGTGATCTTCAATTGTGTTGACAGTGGAAATAATGTCCAAATTTCCGATTATGAGCTTGCGATGGATTTTTCAGCTTCTGAACAAATTATGGGTCTTTTTTTCATATCTCTGTAACAAACAGTTCAGAAAAGTGCTGCAGTATCAACCAGTAAAATATGATTTGTATCCTTTATCACCAGGTGAATTATATTAATGTTTTTCTTAGCTAATTGTAGAATTAAAAAAAAAAAATTTTTTGAATTGTATTTTGCAGTGTCGAGACATCGTCTAAGCTTGGTGCAAAAAAAGACTCTAGTCTTAGATCTAGATGAAACATTAATTCATTCACATCATGATGGGCTTCCTCGTAACCCAACAATAAAGCCAGGAACGCCACATGATTTTACTGTAAGAAAATCAATTTTTCATTCAACAAAAGTTTAAAGACTTTGGCGATGCTCTGCAAAGCAAGAAAAGAAGAAGAAAAAGAAAATTGAAACAATTGAGGGAACTTTCACTTTATCTATTCTTTTAACAATTTCGCCATCTGATGACATGTTATGCTTGATTATAATTGATGATTTCTTCAACATTCACAGGTATCAGTTGTGATCGACCGACATCCAGTTAGATTTTTCGTTCATAAACGGCCGCATGTCGACTTTTTCCTCGACATTGTGTCTCAGTGGTATGATTTGGTTGTGTTCACAGCTAGTATGGAAATTTATGGTGCAGCAGTAGCTGATAAACTGGATAATGGAAGAAATATTCTCAATCGAAGGTGAGATGTGATTGCAAATGTTGCGCAATTATTAACAAAATTCCCTTAATATGACATCAGATATTACCGACAACATTGTACACCAGACTTTGGTTCCTATACAAAGGATTTATCAGCGATATGTAGTGATCTTAATCGAATATTTATCATTGACAATTCACCAGGAGCGTATCGTCGTTTTCCTAACAATGCCATACCAATCAAAACGTGGATCTCAGGTAAGAATAATAAAATAAATTTAATTACCTCATTTGATTTTGTGTTTCTATTCTGAAGATCCAACTGATATTTCACTGCTGTCACTCCTACCACTTCTGGACGCTCTTAGATTCACACATGACGTACGTTCTGTGCTCTCAAGAAACTTACACCTCCATCGGGTCTATTAGTTGCATAACTAACCATCACATCATCCAAAAAATGATTTTTTTTCTTGCGTTTCTTATAAGGTGAATTTAACTGAGTAATGGAAAGTTTAAAACAAATATTTGTTCTCCTCTTTTTCCTTATGTTTTTACATTAAAAACAATTTAAAATCACATAAGTACACCATGCATTGTTTGATGATGCATCTTGTTAGGTAACATATAATTTCATCCCAAGTGAGAGACATTGCAACAAATGAATACACAAAAAAATAGGAGATTTAATCACTTATAGATGAAAAATAATAACAAAACATTGATAAAATGAAAAAAGTTTTGATTAGTTGAGAGCGTAACAAAATAATAATTCAACGTTTAATTTGGTTGAATTAGATAATTCATAAAATAATTGACTTTGCTAAAACTTTTGTAAATAGTCTTGAGATGATACAAAATGGAAATATTATAATTAATGAAATGCTAAGATCAAATTTTTCAACATCCCATCCCATAATTTCCTGTTAAAAATCACCGTTCCCCATAATTTCCTGTCACTCCCGCCTATATATATAGAACGTTTCTTAAGAAAATTAATACAAGTTTTTTATCATAATTATGAAAGCTGAAAAACATTTGAAATTACCGTTTTTTTGCAGTAAAAGAATATCCAATCCTAGTAAATTTTTCTAGTTAAAAAAATCGAAGGAAAATGATTTCCTAGGTCTTGTTTGAGTCTCTTTACTAGATTTAAATTTTATCTATTAAAAGATTCATTCATGACTGAGCAAATCATATGTGAGGCTAATTCGTTAATGCCCAAAGTGAATTTATTTCAATTCTGCAACGACAAACAAACATAACTAAATAAAAAACTATTACGAGCTGCCTATATCACTTGACGCTCTCAGTTTGTTTTTTTTTGTCTTTCGTTCACTTTTTTCTATTTAGAGAAAAAGAAAAGAAAAATAAAAATTTTCGCTGATGATCTATGCCAGACGAAAAGTCACAAATTATAATTAAAAATATATCACATTGAGATGGCGGGGAATGTTCGTTAACGATAATGAATTTTGGTGGTGGTTCGAAGTTAAAATAGAAACAATAACGAAACTATGAACATGTCGTACGAACCCTCGCCTTAAATTTTGAAGGAATATGAATATGTAAGAAACTCTTTTTCTTTTTTAAATAATTTTCCTGAAAAAGAATATTTAAATTGAATGCGACGAAAAGTCACATTTTATTTAAAAATTGCTCAACAACACCACACAATTCAAAGTTATTTTGTGCGCTGTGACCAAATTTAATTTTATTATTATTTTGTCTGTTTAGCTCATGAAGTCTCTCGTTGTCTTGAAACTTAATCAATTTGTCGTTCGAGACCATTTTTATGTAATTTTGTTAAATTATAAAACGGTGACCAACCTGAAAAGCTTAAAGAGCAACTTTTTATTTTCTTTGATGTTCAAGGATGTTCATGAAATGGAAAAAAAATGGAAAATAAATGAAGCGAATTTTGAAAATATGAAATTTATTGAAACTTTTTTAATTGCTTAAAAGTAGAAGGATTCTGATGGTTTATTCATTCACATTAATCGAGAGTCTTAGGTGGACGAACGATGGAGTTTCTCTTTAATGCTTCAACAAGCCACATGATTGCCTCATTAACACCTTCTCCTGTAAGTCCAGATGTAGGAATTGTTAAGCAATCTCTCCGTCCGATTAAATGACCATGTTGCTGGAATACTGGTTTTATGTCTCTCACACCCATACAATCCTCTAGATCTTGCTTATTGGCAAGAATCAGAAGTGGAACACCCGAGAGATATTCATTTTTTATCATTTTGTCAAATAATTCTTTCGACTCATTCATTCTTTCACGATCATTCGAGTCTATCACATAAATTACGGCATGAGACTCGTCATAGTACTAAAATAATAAAAAATAAATAAGAATATTTAACACGAATACAATTTTTTATTTTCTTACTTTGTCCCAGAGAGACTGAAGCTCTTTTTGGCCACCAAGATCCCAGAAGCTTAATCTTATACCAGCTATTTCTATTTGGCCAATGTTAAGTCCTACTGTTGTCGTAATATAATTTAAATTCATTCCTTTATAATTTTTTGTGAATCTTGTTTTTGCTGTCTCCAGAAATGTTGATTTTCCTGCATTATCCAAGCCTAAGATTAGCACATTGTATTCGTCTTTTCTTGTAATTTGTTTGTAAAGTCCTGTTATCAAATGATACATTGCACAAATTCATAGAAAACACTTAAACAGGAAATTTGTGGAATTTTAATTCCAAGTAAAATGTAAATAAAAACGTAAAGTTTTTCTTGATACTAACGCACGAATTGGGCGCTTTATAAATTGAGTCACAATTTTTAATGAAATTTATGTTACAAACAAA